CTTCTTCTAAGAAGAAGGACATTCTCTTATACAACCACAGTACAATTATCACACTAAGAAAATTAACATTAGTTCTGTAATAGCATTTAATATTCAGCCCAGAATCAAAATTCTCTGACTGTCCCTAAAAATGTCTTAATAGCATTTTTTTTTTTTAAAAAAACAGAATACAATCAAGGTTTACCAGCATTGCTTCTTTTTGTTTTGTCTCTTTGGTCTCTCTTAGTCCAGAGCATTATCTACCCCTTACCCTAGCCAACTTTTTATTGCAGAGTTCTTGAAGAAACTAGTTTCTTGAAATATGTCTCATTCTGCATTTGTCTCATTGTTTAGACATGGAATCATGCACTGTATTTTCATTTTACTGGAAATTAGGTTTGATGGCTTTATTATATTTAGGCAAAAATACTGACTAGGTGATGCTGTATAGTTTATTGTACCACATCAGGAGGCACATAATGGCGGGTTGTTTATTTATTGATGATTCTAAGTGTGACCGTTTGGTTAAGGTGGTGACTGCAAGAGATCTCCATCATAAAGGTCTGTTCATCCCTTAATTACCAAGTAATCTGTGACTTGGTACTTTAGCACTATGCGGGTATCTATTCTCCTCCTGTAGTTATTCACCGGTCTCCTTTTGTTTAAAAAGAAAGAAAGAAAAAAGAGCATTCTCATCAGTAGGCATGAACTATAGTTCCTTGTAAGAAGACAGGGTATATTCTTATTTTTTCCCTTTACCAGTTTTTAGACTAAAGAGTTGGTATAATAATCAACTCTGATAGTGGCAAATGAGTTTTTTCCTTTCTTTTCTGTGTCATCGTGGACTTGTAGATTTTTATTTATTCACTATTACATAGTAGGTTGCAGTCATTCTTTCTGATGTTCATAATGTCTCAAATTTAGTTAGTGGCAGCCTGTTTAAACACTTCATTGCTTTCTGGCCCAGCAAATGACCCAGGCTCACTCTGTACTTTCCCTGCCCCAGTTCTGGAATCTCCAAGGATCCTTGATTCTTTTAAGTGGAGAATGGCACTTAGAAACCAAGATCTGGGTCATTATATTATTTGACTAAAAACATTGGTTTAAAAAGAGGCCCATAACCCTGCCTCTAAAGGTGTTAAGGAAAGGGGGACAGTGTCTCTGAATATGTGTTGAGTTGGTTATAGATATGTGGGGTGTAAGGGAGGTAAAGGGTTCTGGTTTGGGAAAAGCTAGGTTGTGGGGCAAGTATTTTGGGATCAGGGAAATATACCATATAAGGACCTTCTGTCATATACACAAGATCTAGGTGCGTGTGTGTCACTGTTCCTCCAAGCAGATAAAATATGAATGCTGAACAACCTGGGGAAATGAATCTAAAATATTTAGTCTTCCCAAACCAAGAAGGCCTTTCCTTAAGTAATCAAAGAAAATAGTGTTGCTTTTTGTGAGCTAAAACCTTACGAGAGAACTGTTCACGTGGTAAAGAGGATTGTCACTTCTGAGCGCTTATAAGGTATTAGTTGTACTAGGTTCTTCTTTCACATCTCGTATGATCACAGTATACCTGTGAGGTAGATATTATTGTTCCCATTTCATAAGTGAGGAAAACTGAAGGTCAGAGATTAAGTAACTTGACCCAAGTCATTTAACAGATAAGGGAGATAACCAGAGTTCATACTAAGATCTAATTCTATAAACTCTTGATTTTTCTACTGTGCCATTTAGCCTCCTATGAATATACTTCAGAGTTCCCTCTAGAAACTGTTCAAGTAAACTGTTGAGACAATAAACAGTCTATAAATGTTAACAACCATAATCTTTTTATAGGGCTGTTAAAGAATAAAGTTTGTATTGAAAACCTTGAGATACTCTGAAGACTTCGTAAGCTTTTCATGTCTCTAACATATCTGCATAGTACCTTTTACGATTCTAAAACATTACTTTATCTTTTTGGCACTGCCTTCAGAGATAGTTTATCAGATACAGGAGAAAATTAGCTTATTTTGTAATCATGGGACTTCCCTCAGTTGGATACTTCTTTTTCCTTATTTTCCTTTGCTGTGTGAGCCAGTTTCAGGTACCTCAGAGTGCTGGTTTTGGCCGGTAGCTGGTTAGGTCAGGCTGGAAATAATTACTGTGGAGCAATTCCAAGGCTGAAAGCCAGAGAGAACACATTAGGAAGTAGACTGAATGATTTTAACTTATTAGGGAATCATCCTAAGTCTGTCAGCCTATGAAAAGTCTTATGGACTGATTTGACTAAAAACACTTAAGTGTAATTTACTGGAAGTCATATTAAAATTGATAGGACTGGCAGTGATTTAAATCTCAAAATCATGATCCCAGTTAATCTTTTGGGATCTCACAATCAATCATTCTATATATAGTTCACTTTATTTCAGAAGTACTGGTACTTGAAAGTTGCATACATGTAAATTGAATCATGTTTTCATATCAAATTATATAACATTTTCTTCAGGGTTCTTAATTTCCTTGTCAAAATACTTCATGGTTTATTTTTTAAGGCGTTAATTTAAAAGCTGCTAAGATTCTTTTGTAGAGTAAAACATCTTTTTTTTTAAACATGTGTTACCATCTCTGAATTTTTGTTTTGTGACTTCAGTTTCTTAAAATGATGTGTGATTATATTGAAACTTTAATTATAATATTAATTAGTTAAGGTTTCCGTTGGCAGAACATATTTCTTGGCAGTTTTGTCTTTTGCCTAAATTAAGGTCACCCTCTTATACCCGTCCACATGTACTTCCAGGTACTTGCCAATAAGTATCTTCTGACTTGTCTAAAGAGTTTTCAACTTTGGTTGTACATTCATATTTTAAAAGTACTACTGCCAGGCTCTCTCCCCAGGATTCTGATTTTAATTGGTTTGGTATGGGGCCAAGACAAACTACTCAGATGATTCTGCTGTAGTCAGACTCTTCTTTTTTATGCGGCATTTCTTAATCCCACCTTCTTGCCTTACTTCCGTGTTTCTTCTTTTCATTTTACATGAGTCCTCATCATTCCACAGTCATATATATTAAAGCTAAGTTTTTGATGAATCCTCAGAGTATTCTTATTTAAACTTTTCTCTCTTCTGAGCTTGTGTTGAGTTTGTGATATTAGTGCTACCCTTGTACAGTTCCCCAAGTGCTTTCTCATATGTTATTTGGTTCCCACAGTAATTGTCACAGTGACCATGTGATGGAAGTACACAGCTGTATACCTGTTTTTCTTGAGAAAGCTGAGGGACAGAAAAGCTAAAGGACTTTGCTAAGGTTTCACAGCTAGTAAACAGTGCAGCAGAGACTCAACAGAAGAGCTATAATTTCTTTTTTAATATTCTTTTCATTATGTTATAAAATATATGGCTTATCATTTTTTTCTAATTGTTAGAACTGATAGCTTGAGCTCCTGGAAGACAGGGGGGCATTATTCTATTTTACTTCTCAATATCATTCACAATGCCTAGCACAATGTTAACTCATGGTAGGTGCTTAAGAAATTTCTTGTTAGTTTAATTGATTTAATTAGACATCAGTGCATAGTAAATTGTGGTGGACTGAATCTGCTTTTATGACAAATGTGGGGAAGAGAGGAAATGGTAGTTTGTCCTTCTGTGAGTTTTTTGTTTAGGAATAAGAGTAATTTAAATATTGGCCATTGTTCTAGAACCATAACTCAAAATATATCATCAGACATTGAGAAGAAGTAAGACTAGTGTGAA